ATTAAAGGTTAAAACCTATCAATTTTGCAAGGTGAGGGACTCAATGTTGATTTTAGCCAGGAAAATGCTACTTACACGCTCTCTACCCACTCTGTTACACCCTCGTTCACTCTCCATTACTTCCGTTACTTTCGTTAAACTCCAAAGGTACCCAACCCAGCCTTTCTTTCTTTCTCCTTTCCTTTCTCCTTCCTGCTGTTAACCGTCTTCACCAGATCCATCTTCCTCCTCAGCTCCATCCTCATCCTAATCATCTGCAGCCTCATTTTCCTCTTATTCATCATGGTCAGTTTCACGGACACAAAGCATGAAGCTGAGCAAGTGGGAACCTGCAAAGGAACCCAGATCTGGTGTTGGGAGTGGGGAGAGAAAATGAAAGGATTTAGAGGTTGAAGATAAGGATTAAGGAACCCAGTAGCTTGGGGCATTTTCAGAGCTTGGAGAACCCATGTTTCTCCAAACTCTACCAAAGTGAGGTTCTAGGTGATTAACCTAATCAACCCATTCTGTTTTTCTCCAAGTTGGCCATGAACCAAGTTTGTTCGCCCATTTACTCCAGTCGGGTTTCACTTGAAAGGAGAGGGGATGATCTATTGGTTGTGGGTAAAGAGGATTTATGGCTGCGGGTGGGGGGATGATGAAATTTAGGCCTAAAATCAAAGATTTCTGGTGAGGAATAAATGTTTGATCGGCATGGCAAGTCTGATTATGCTTCAAAATCTGTTTAATTTCTTCTTGAAGGTTCTTGTTTTCGAAGATGGAAACCAGATCTGTGGGTGCCGGCTTTGTGGTTGTGGCTCTGTCTTGAGCCTTTGGCGACGTGGATCTCACGCGAACTGGTTGCTTCTTGCCTCGATTATGGTCGCTGGATGTTTCTTGCTACCGCTCATAATTGCTGGCTGGATTTTGTTGCCGCTGGCTTGATCTCATTGCGATGCCAAAGTTGATCTCGCTGCAACAAGAAGTAAAAGAAGATATAATAAAAAAGGGAAGTCGGAGGTGTGGGTCTGCAGACTTGAAAAAGGGCTATCACTCCAAACAAGACACAAAATTTCAAGTTGTTCAATTTCTCGAACTTCGTAGGCAACGGAAATTCCAACATTTCAAGTTCCATTTGGTTTCTCTCTCCCTAAAAACTCCCAAAAATTCCAACATTTCAAACCCAACTCCATGTCTAAAAAGAGAGAAAACGTCAATTGGAACAGCAAGAGGGAGAAAGGAAAGAAGAGAGAAAGAAAGAGAGAAGAAGAAAGGGCTGCGCTAGTGACTTTGAAAGTTAACAGACTAAGTAACAGAATTAACGAAATAAATAACGAAGTGAGCATGTGTAACAAAAGGTGTACAATGGAAGGATAAATGTATCATCGTTCAATTTTTATTTGTAATTTTTAAACGTCATTAAATAAATAAATACAATATGATATTTTATCCATTCATTTTTAATAACCTAATTTGACTTTTTAATTTTTGAGATATAAATTTTCTTTAACAACCTTAGAAAAACCATGTTTCAGCTTAAAAGAAACTGATGAAAATCTGTTTTATCATCAATTTGCCGTAAGGGACGATGATATATTTACCATCCCATTACACACCCTCTATTACACATGCTTACTTCGTTGTTTATTTTGTTAATTTTATTACTTAATTTGTTAATTTTGAAAATTATATAAAAAAGTTATATGCATATTCCATTAAAACAAATTATATGCATATTATTACTTTGAGAAATTGTAAAAATATGTTATGAATTTGGCTTTATAAAATATTAGTATATCAATATTGATAGTGATATATTTAATTTATATAAAAACAATTATAAATCTAAAACAATACATAATATTTTTAACATCTAATATGTAGCCTTCTCATAGCAAAACCAATATGTACATGTTAATACTTTCTCTGCCAAAGAATAATAAACGTGCACTACTAAAATCCTCACCTTCAGCAACATGGAAGCATGTTGCTGAAAGTGCTTCTCATGTTGCTAAAAGTCCTTTAGTAACATGGCTTTGGTTGTTAAAAGCTTTGTTGGAGAAGGCTTGGTAGGTAATACATCACCAACTAAAATTTTGTTGCTGATATATCAGTAACATGAGTTACATTGCTGAAAATATGGTATCAACAATATAAGTTATGTTGTTGAAAACACTCACCAGAATCTGGTGGGGATGAGGGGTGAATTTTCTCACCCCTTTTAACAACATAAGCCACGTTGCTAAAGATAGGGTTTTAGCAACGTGGCTCATGTTGCTAAAAATTGAGAGAAATATGGCCGGAAACCGGCACCCGAATTCTGCCTAATTTTTAGCAAGCAAAGTCACGTTGCTGATTTTCAACTTTTACCAAGAAAAACCATGTTGCTGATATTTATTTTTATACTTTCACTCACATTTTCAGCAACCTACCCATTGTTGCTAATGTTTACTCTAAATAGTATCAACCACATTTTTAGCAACATACTCTTTGTTGGTGATACATCAAAATACTTTATAAAAAAAAATTATACTTACCAAAATTCTAAACACATATTTTTTATTTTAATTTTTATGAAAATAAATATATGACATTAAGTTTAGGTTAAATATCCTTTTTGATCCCTGTACCGAAGAAATCCCTTTTTTAGTCCTTACTGTTCATAAATCCGGCCCCTTTTTGGTCATTCCATTAATTTTTGCTCATGTGGCATGTTAACTTAACTGAAACAGCTGATGTGGATATGCCAACATGTAAAAGATACTTACGTGGACTCCAAGTCATCCTCCAAGTAGACTCCACGTCACCCTCCACGTGGACTCCACTTCCTCC